ACACGCTTTTAATCCAGATCTTTTGAAGGGGAGACCCTTCTCTAATCTAGGCCACGCCTTCTGCTGGAAGCCTATATAAATGGGAGAAGGAAGTGCCTCTCTTTGCCTGTTTGCTTTCCCTCTCCCTAGCACATCCATTCTTTCACTGGATTAGAGCCTACTTCCAGACTCCACTGTATACTAAAGAGCAGCTGAGACATCCGGCTTCCTGGACTGAGTAACTACTGGATTATTGAAACTTCCATTGGTAGACCAGAGCCTTTAAGTCATTCTAATAAATAACCACCTCTCATCTCTCTCCATATATTATATATGCATGTGTGTTTATACATATATATATGTATATATGTAAATGCACATACAAATTCTGTAAGTTCTCTCCCTCTAGAGAACCCTGAGTAATACAACCACTTATTGAAGGCCTGTTAAAAATCACATTCTAGGAATCAGAAAGCTGGCTTGCTGCCATATCTGACGACCTAAGTTCTGTCCCTAGAGCCCACATGGTGGAAGGAGAGAACTGACTCCTGCAAGTTCTCTTCTGACCTCTACTTTGTTTAGTGACAAATGCATGTGTATTTGTACTCATGTGCACACGCGCGCACACACACACACACACACACACACACACATATACATAAAATAAATAAATAAATGAAAATTGTGTTGTATTTTGGCCAGGACCCTGAATTTCTTTGATTTGTTAGGTTTTTTGTTTGTTTGTTTGGGTTTTTGTTTTTTTGAATCAGGCTCTCACATGTAGTCTAGACTAGCCTGGAACTCACTGTGTAGCTCAGGTTGGCTTTGAACTCACAGCGGCCCTTTTTTGTCAGCCTTCTGAGTGCTGACTTTGAGTTTTAAGAATTAGGAGTGTACAGGGGCTGGGTTATCTCAGTTCATGAGAACAGGCTGTATCTCTCTTCCAATTCTGTAGTCAGTACTTTTATATTATTAGCTTTCAATTGCAAAATATGAGAGTATTTATAAGTTTATAATACAGAAACCAGTAAAGTACTAAAACCTAGGATTTTTTTTGAGAGCCTGTTTAGCATAGTACCTCTGATACAATTTGGATAATCCTCCCAGAGCTAGTGAGCTTGTGAGCAGGCAGGAAGGAAAACTACCAACCCGAGGCTAGCCTGCAGAGTGAACAGTTGCTGTGGAAGGTCAGGATGGGGCTGTCTGTTCTGCATCAGGGACTGTGCAGGACAGTAATGGGAGGGATCACTGGGCATGAAGAAGATTCTTGTCAGGTAAAGGAAATGGGGAGCAGGCAAGGGCAGAGCGCATGAGCACCTGCAGATGAGGAGGTGGTTAGTATGACTGGAACCACCTAGCAGTCCACTTCTCGAGCACAGATGGGCGTGGCATAGAGGGCCAGGAGATGAGCCATGAAGAGCCCACTCTGTCAGGCCTAAGGTTCCCTCGCCAGATCAATCATGTTTCACACTCTGGTCATCCAAGAGGATTTAGCAAGAACTCTACCAAAATCAGAATTTTCAATATCAGGGGAGTTAAAGTCTTCTAAATCCCAAGATTGGCATGGAGCTTCCAGCCATCTGATGACAAGGAGAACAAGGAATTATGTATCCTGAATAATTTTATCTTCCAATTGATTTTTTATAAGTGCAAAGCTTTTGTTGTGCACGAGAATACAAACAAGAAGAAAGTGAATGTGGAAATGTAAACAAGCTTCTCACAGATATGCACAATACAGATCTACCACAGGGGGTTTCTTAGAGCCATGTCCCTTCAAAACACAGAAGACAACACCAAAAGCATATACTACATTGACCAGAGTACTATGCTCTTCAAATACTAACCATGCCATCACAAAGTAAGCACCTGCAGGGAAGGGTGTGGGATCTGTTATGTTAATGGTAGAGAGAGCTGGATTTAACTTCCAACTTCAAAGGCACTGTGCACTATTTGGTTGGTCCACTAGGCTCCCCAGTCCGTCAAAGACTAGCCCTCAGCTGTATGTGTTTTTTTTTCTCTTACTTTATTTGATCTGTGATGTGATTACTCTTTAGTGTCTGAAGGAGGTCAGGAAGTCAGCCCAAGGACAGGGAGACCCTCCTATATCTGATGGCACATCCGATCCCTCCTGAGATGGAAAAGAGCCTGAGACTTTAGGGAGACCACATGGTTATAGCTGACACAGTTGTCCAAGCTTGGGTTGGACTGTGTGTATTATTGGCTGCCCTTGCCATACACCAGCACAACTAAGCAGGTTTCCCCAGGAACTGGTAGGGACCTGGAGTCCTTCCCAAGTACCAGCTGCTAGCTCCTGGGACTGGCAGGTTCTTAGAGATGTAGACAGAATGTCAGTGTTGGAATGTGCAGACATGATACAAACAGAAAAGGGACAGCAGCATCCAGAACCAGTCATGACTTTTTTAGATGAATTTGTTTCTAGGAGTGCTATTTTGCAGAATCCTGACCACAGGCTGACACTAGGTAAGACCAGACAGGAGGCAGACTTAGCGCCAGACTCTTGGCCTGACTCTTGAATCTTACCACCTTGTCATAGCGTCCGCTTTGGGTTGTGAACTCAACAAGCCGTCCACATTTGTTGGAAGAGGTGATAGAGCTTTTAGCAACCCAAATGCTGCTGCTGCTGCTTCCACGCCCACCCTGCAATGCTCTGGACAACAAGGTGGATAGCATTTAACTTTGCTTCCTCCGAGGGAAAGGTGTTCTGAGACTGCTGGCTGCTTCCTGCCCTGTGCTGCTTAGTCCTTGCATCTAGGTCACTTCCAGTGATACATTATGCCATGTCCTCCTGAAGGATAAGAACTGAAGTTGGGCTTATGAGTTCAAGTCCAGCAATTTCCCTACTGTTTCTCATATCTCAGGATCCTTGGTAAATAAACAAACCAGAGAAACAGGCTCTAGGTTAGGAGGTCAGGGCCAGTCCCACCTTTAGACATATAGACACCTACTAGGGATTCCGCAGGACAGTCTGAAGGTCACAGATCTAGTTCAGCATCTAGTTAGACAGAGTGGTCTCCACAGCGTCTCTATGCCCACAAAGGACAAGAAGACAGCTAGGCCATGAAACAGATTATCATAACGCTGAGCAGTATTTTCTCTCAGACGCTGAGCAAGCTTGATTCCTTCTAAATTTTCCCCATGGTTTAAGTTTAACCAGGTCCCATAGTACAGGTTTGGCAGTAGAAGGCTTCCCACCTATCACAAACTAAGAACAATCTCTTTGGTTTAAGTCTTTTCTATGTGCCAGATACTTCAAACATTACTTCATTTATCTTCATAGACTTATACATACTAGTTATCCATTTTATGAATAGGTTTGTAGAAGGGCAAGATCCAAGTACTTGGACTATGGCCACATAGCCTGTACTTAGGGAACTACTGTGACCCAGGCTTTTCTGGTATGACAGGAGTGTCCTTCCCACTTTGCAACTTTCTTCTCTGAAAAAGCGAGGGACAGAATGGAACACCCACAGTAACCTACTCACTCTTCTGTCCTATGATTTCACATTTGCTGGGAAACTGTCAAGGAACAAAGCTCTACTTTCTAGAAGTTTGATTGGTGTCTCTTAGTTACTGGCAGGAGTCTAGGGGTTGAGTACTAAGCAGAGGAGTGGTGTTTCTCCATGGGTCTCAAAGTACACAGAGCCATAACCAATAATGTCTCCTGACATGGAAGGCTAAAGACTCTTCCCCTAATATCCTGCCACAATCAGTGAAAAGCATCCTCCCTGGAGAAGGTGCCTGTTCCGGAGGAGCAGCCCGGCACTGTGGTCCCCTCACCACTCACCATTCTATGAATGTACTTAGTATGTAAGCCATGCTCATCGTCGTCCAGCTGCGACTCAGCGCCTTCCACATCCTGTTTGTATTTGGGGCTGATTGCTACAATTATCATCACTGTCTTCTGTTAATGAGAAGGAGAAAAGCATGTTTATGGAAGTGGGAAGTGTGGTTCATTTGGTGAAGACCAGCTGGAAAGTGGCCAGCAGGACCATAACCAGTCCCTGACCTGCTGACGGGTACGGGGCCAGTCCCTCTCTCTATGAAAGCAAAAGGCAGAAACCCACACACCAGCATGCTGTCCTTTTCACACCTCCCCGGTGCCTCTGTGCCCAGAACCTTACAAACACACAGAGAAAAGGCTCTGCGAGGAATTCTCCCATCTTCCACAACCTTCACTAATAAACGTCCAGTGAAAGCCCAAATCACTGAATCTGCATGGAGCCAGAAAGATACTGCCACGGCACAGAAAAGTGCCCTTCCTCCCTGCAGCCGATATGAACTGTCAGTCACTCTGCTTCTCCACTGCCCTGCTTTTCCTGTACACATTAGCACAGAAGCAGACCCTTCAGCACAAAGCAAACACCAGGCTGCAGACAAAAGGAAAGCAGAACCCCAGCCTGCTGAGCCTCCCACTCCCCACCCACTCCTGCCCAAAGAAACACACAGACGTGGACATGTTGGCAGCAATCAATTTCTCGCTTGTTAAAGCACAAGGTGTCTCAGTGGCTAGTATAGATTCTGTCTGTAGTGGCTAGTATAGATTCTGTCTGTAGAAAAGGAATCACAGGGCTGCAAGTGGGTGGCCTGGGGTGGCATGCTGCATAGCTTGCAAGGCTGCCCAGAAACCTCTTTAGCCCAGTCCTACAAAAACACTTGGAAAGGCCCCAAATTCAACTGGAATCATCCCCCCTTCACTTCCTCCTTTCCTATTCTGGTTTAGAAATTGTTTGCACTGATTGTTATCAACCACCTGTGTCTGGTTTGACCATTATTTCCTGTCTCTGCATGTCCAGGAGGGTGACCCCATCCTTCCTTTCCAAGTCTTTGCATAGCTTCCAACAAGAGAGGCTTTGTCAGACTTCCTCGGGCTCAGACTTGGGGAGTGTATTAGGGATTCTTCTGTGAAATATTTTCACAAGCTAATTGTTTTTCTCACCAGCACACATCCTCAGAATTTAGGAATATACTTACATCTCGAAGGTAGCGCTCCATCCATTTAATGATATCAATACCCCGGATTCTATCCTCAAATATGTCAATCTAGAAGAAAAGGATGAGAGGAAGGGTTCTTAATAAGAGCTTTCCCTGGGTACAGAGCTCAAGAACATAAGAAGCTAATGTACTTCTGCAACTCTAAAACTAGTGCTCTATTTTAGGAGGGATGCAGGAGTCCAAACAATGAAACACAGTTTCATGAAATACACCCCATTTCAATATCCGCAGACATTTAAGTTTCTAATATCCATAATTAAGATATAGTGGTTCATATCAAAATGTGTCTGCAGCTATACAATAATTATATGTTCAAAAATCTGAAGGACACAGTATATCACTAAATTGGATGTAAGCAAGGAAGACAGAAATAGTACTTTTATGTATCTGTAATTTGAAAAACTGAAAGGAAGATTCTGTGTGGATCCACTTCAGTGGATCTGTAGTGTGCAAATGCTGAGACACAACTGTAGTGTCTGACCCATGTTTACCAGGTCATGATTATAGGATCATGTCCAGCTTCACTTACACATTTCAAAAGGATTGTATGAAACTTGGGTGAAATCCAAAGAACAGTCACAAAAACAATCACTGAGCTGGTAGGGAGGTGTTAGGATGAAAGTCAAGGAGAACTCTGGGGTTTTGATAAGATAAGATCAAAGGTAAAACTCCTTTAGGTATTAGAAGAGCAGAAAAATCAGATCTTTTGTCTTATAGAGGCCCAAGTCTCTCTCTCTCTCTCTCTCTCTCTCTCTCTCTCTCTCTCTCTCTCTCTCTCTCTCTCTCTCTCTCTCTCTCTCTCTCTCTCGTCTGTCTCTCTCTCTCTCGTGTGTGTGTGTGTGTGTGTGTGTGTGTGTGTGTGTGTGTTACACATACTAGGCACTCCTGATTAGAAGAGTGAATGGATAATATACTAGAGTAGGAACATGAGAAGACCTTTGGGGAAGGGTTCTTTGATTAGCCTCACTGCTCCCATAGTTATTTTCCTAGTGTTACACTGCTGTTTAGACCTGACCAAACCAAGTCTTCACTATTCATCAAGCATCCTGAGCCAGCTACTGTCTTTTCCCCACATGCTCTGTCTACTTCACTCCCCACATTACTTCCCTTGGACCCTTGCAGCACAGTGCATGCCCCTCCGCCCTGTAAGTCACACTGACGTCCCCTTCACATTACCTGTAAGTCACACTGACTTCCCCTTCACATTACCTGTGAGTCACACTGACTTCCCCTTCACATTACCTGTAAGTCACACTGACGTCCCCTTCACGTTACCTGTAAGTCACACTGGTGTCCCCTTCACGTTACCTGTAAGTCACACTGGTGTCCCCTTCACGTTACCTGTAAGTCACACTGGCGTCCCCTTCACATTACCTGTAAGTCACACTGACGTCCCCTTCACATTATCTGACTCTCACCCATTTTGGCCACTAGTAGCAAACACATTACACAATTCTTTCATTTACTCATGTCTCATTTATGACCTCCTCATCTTCCTACCCTGCTTCTAAGCTCCCTATAGAAAGAGATTATGTGTGTACTTAACTGTCATGCCTGCAGAATACATAATACAAACTTGGAATGCATTCCTTTACTAAGAGAACATTAAAAAATGGAATAGTTTTCCTTTGGGTTGGATGTTTTTTTTAAAGACAAGGTCTCACTATTGCTCTAGCTGGCTGGAACTTGGTATGTAGTCTAAACCTTGAATTCACAGAGCTCCACCTGCCTCTGCCTCAGTGCTGGAACTAAAGGTATGCACGATCAAGCTCAGTTTATTTGTGTGTTAATGTCCACCATGTTGTCATGTGCCTGATGTTCTAGTATTCAGGAAACTGAAGCAGGAGTTTTGAGAGTGTCCAGCTAATGGGGTCTACACTGAAAAGTGTCTCAAAAAGTGAAAACAAAAACCAAGATAATAATGCATGCTCTGGCTAAAGCCTGCACGAATCTGTGACGGTGCCAGTAATCTGTTTCCGTTTCAGTCTGAGAATGGTCAGCTTCGTCCTGCTCCTGGCTCTGCGTGGTTATGAGGACTCAATGACAACATGGAAAAGACATGTATCATAATGCCAGGCATATATATATTTGGTTTTCGAGACAGGATTTCTCTGTAGCTTTGTAGACCAGGCTGGCCTCGAACTCACCGAGATCTGCCTGCCTCTACCTCCCAAGTGCTAGGATTAAAGGCATGCACCCAGTTTGCCAGACATGATGTTAACACATCATATATGGTCATTACTGTCTGACACAGAAGTTGTTCTCTGCTACAGAGACACATTCTGGGTGGTGTCTGCCTCTCTAGATTTCCAACAGAGTCTGTTGCACCTGTCATGACAAGTTTTCCACACAGCTGCTGGCATGAGCTAATTGTGTCCCTAAAATGCACATATTATCTGGAGGTGGTGGCTTACACTTATAATCTCACTACTTGGGAGGCTGGCATAGGTAAATTGTCAGCTTGTGCTATAAAGTGAGATTCTGTCTCAAAAGATACAATAAAAATTATTTTTTTGAAACAGTACCTTATAATGTGACTGGATTTGGAGACAGGGCCTCTCAGAAGATAATTCAGGTAAAATGAGGTACTGGGTGGGCCCCATTCCCATAGGATTGGTGTTCATGGAGGAAGAGAAAATTTGCATGTAGGCCCGTGCACACTCAGGGGAGGACCATGTGAGAACAGAGAGGGGATGGCCATCTCAAGCCAAGGGAGAGGATCCCAGATGAAACCAGTCTTGTTTCAGCCGTGTTCTTGGCCTTCCAGCCTTCAGAACTGTTGAAAATGAGCTCTGTGTTATGACTGACTTCAACAGCCATCCTCTTCATCCTTTGGTGTCTCTTTGGTGACTATGCTAGTGACAGGGTATGACACTATTCCCTGAGATTTCCTAAAGCCTACCTAAACCTTTATGCTGTTTTCTTATTCAACTCTCCTTAAATTATTAATGATTTCATTTCACTGAGAAGATCCCAATGTATCAGGTATAAGCCAGAACTGTTAACAAACACAGGCTTTTCTACGATAAGAGTCAAGAGCGCATTTAAATTCCCCCTGAACTGCCCCCTGATTAGGGTTTTTTTTAAGGTTAAAAACCCTTGCTATTCTCCAGAGGCAGTAAGAATCTATATGTTTATATTTGGAAAAGAAAAAGGTAAGATCTTGTGTGTTGCCTCATAATTTGATTTTTATGTCACAGTTGCCCTAGCAATGTCTTACTCTACAAATGAGAAAGTGAAATGTTAGTCTATAGGGTTGTGAAGCTGAATTACATAAATTGTAGGCATCTTTTAAAAATTATGTAATTTTATTTTTAGGAAGTATTACAGGAAAAAACATTAAAATAAAAACTACTAAGCCACCTCTTTATTCTTTAATTTGTTAGTGTTCTTCTCTAACCTCCAACATCCATATTTCACTCATTGTTCACTCCACTTTGGAATTCACTGCTGCTGAATGCCTAGGAGAGGCCTCTGGGAAGGAAATAATCTTAATGTTTGAGAAAAGCCAGTCCTCTGAGTAGCAACCTGTGGTATTTTGTTTATCCTAAGGCAGAATGTACATGGCTTTAACCTGTGCTGTTTTAGGGGTTGGCAGGGAGACAGAAAGATGATGTGCTTGAGAATTTTGGGCCCAAAATCACAATGGACCTACAGGGATGAAGTAGGGCCATCTTCCCTAGATGGAAACCAGGCTGTGTCTTCCCCGTCCAGAAACTTCGCTTTGGAAACAAGGTGTAGAAGGGCAGCTGTGTGCAGCCCAGGGTTTTACTTCAAACCTTATAATCCAGTGCAGAGCAGAGTGTCTGGTCTGGTAAAAAACTCCCTTGGTGAGCTTGTAGCCTCCAGTACCACAGGAGGTAGGTATGACTGGTGAGAAAGGGCATAGGCAGAGAGGGCAGCAAAAGCCAGACCTTTTCTTCAGGACCAACAGTGGGAATTAGCACTGTTACAGACATTTGGAGGAAAAACGCTGGAGACTTTGAGTAGTTTAAAATGTGGTGGAATACTAGTCTAGCATGAGTGAGGCCCCGGCACCAAATAAATAAATAGATACCCAGAAACAATTATCTAAACCCTTAAGCATTTAGCTCATCATTACATAAATTAATAAAACATCAACTTCATACTTTACCATCATCATCATCATCATCATCATCATCACTGTGTTCAACTGAACAGTTCAGTTTTCTCTTTGAATAAAATACTTACTGCAGTTTGGAAGCCATTCACCAACAAAAAGTTCACGAATTTCACCACCTCCATGGCTGTGTCCATAGAATAAGTGATAAAGACTTTCCCTAAGAGAGAAATTTCAGAGTTGTTGAAACCAAGTTACTCTGTTGTTCATAGCACTTCTAAGGAGCATGTGTTGCCCATTGTGTTGGAGGGTGGTCTAAGGGCTTATGCCTGCAGTGGTGTGAATTGCTGTCCTCTGTGACAAGGGCTGGGACCTGTCCAAGACAATGCAAACCATCCAGAATGAACACAAGACGGAAGGGACAGAGGAGAGTAATGTCAGGCTGAGATCAGCCTCACAGGTCTTCTGGAACACCACATGAGATGTTAAAAAGTCTACCACCCACAGCCTGCAAGTCCTTTGAGCTCAAGCCATTGCCTTGTTTCTTAGAGACACTTGGCCCTGTGCCCAAGGAAAATATTCTCACAGCAGGCTAAGAAGCTAGGGCTTGCTAAGAGGCCACCAGCAGTGACTGCTTTTGATCTCATGTTGCTCTCCACTGCCCTGAACTCTTGTCTAACAAGACAAAGTAGGGGGTGAGTGAGAAAGTGTTTCCGTGCCCTCCCTCAGTCGACTCTTTTGGAGAAAGGTCAGGAAGTGGGAGCAGACTGATGCCCAGATCAGAAATGTGAGTGCAAGTTCAGCAGTTTAAAGGGGAGACGATGCCTCAGGGCAGTGCAGCATTGAAGGCTTCCTCTTTCCTCCCCAAGCCAGCACGGAGCCATAGAGAGAACTGTTCTGACAAGCTTACCCTACCCAGCTAGAACCGCTCCTTTCTCAGACTATTGGGGAAATTACTTGCCTAGCAGTTTAATGTGGTAGACAGATAATCTGTACACATTGCCTTTTAGTCTGGAATGAACAGCTGAATCTCAAGAAATCCTGAGGCAGAGGATAAAAAAGAGAGTTGAGGAAGAGAAGTCTATATGCATTCACCTGTGCTTGAATCTTCTTAACAGAAACTCACCTCTCAGATGGAGTGTGTGTGGTGTATGATGGAGGTAGTAACCAAGTGGTTGGCCTATGGGCAGCACTGGATCCTTTGTCCATACGTACTAGTTTTAGGACTCCTTTTCTAGATTACAAGTCAGGTAGAATATTGGGACCATATGCATGTAAGACCATGTCTGTCCACTCGGATATTTTCCTAATTGAAGTGATAAGATTTTGAGGTGCACAGAAACAAAACTTTTGCCTGAAAACCATGGTGCTCATCGTCACAGAAGTCCTTCGGAGCTGTCAGTGACTCAAGTAGAAAGGCAACAAAAGCAGTTATCCAAGCAAAGGCCTCCGGTTTGGTCCTGAGTGTCCCAGATCTGGAAAAAGTGAGCTTCTCTAGCAAAGTAATTCATAATTAGTGACTGGTTTCTGAAGATTTCTGGAACTAAGAATGCTAGCTGGCCTTACTCTCAGAACATTTTGGTAATATTTCAACATTTCTGGATCTAACAGTAGAATGTGGCAAATGAATCATCACCTGACATTGAACAGGATATTGCTTGAAATAAATAAAAGTGTTAGTTTGCATGCAATATGGAAGTTTAGATTTTTGTTTGTTTTTTGGTTTGGGTTTTTTTCTTTTTCCAAACAAGACTGTTAACTCCTACAGAAAATGACCTTGTTCTTGATAGATGCTGCTAATTTATAGTGAGACACTAGGTTTCCACCCAGGGACACATGAGCATCATCCAATCTATCCTCCCAGGGATACATGAGCATCATCCAATCCATCCTCCCAGGGACATATCACTGAAGAGCATCATTTAGAAAAGGAAAGAATTACAGGGGGTGGGGATATCGCTGTTTTCTATGTGTTAAGGAAAATCCAGTGGTAAGCAGTTTGGGAGCACTACTTGTGAGGTTAGGATCACTAAAAACATTTAAAAATGGCTGGGTATTTTTAAAGCACAAAAAGGAAAAGGTAAACTTTACTGTCTCTGCAAAAAAATATCTGAGATTATGGGGAAGTGACTAAGCCAAACTCTCAAAACATAAAACCTGACAAGATGAAACCACGTTGCAAACAACTTACGTAATTCCTCTGGCAAATTGCTAGTTTTTAGAGTTCCTCGGGCTAGGGGGTTGCTAGGGGGTCTAGGCACAGCAGCTGGGGATGGAGCCTGGGGACCCTGTGGTCTCAGCTCTGCAGGATGGTCCAGGGACGTCTCGGGAGCCCTAGCTCCACTAGATGGTGGGTGATAGTGCTGATTCCTGTAAGGGAATAAGTTTACAGCAAATTTTTATTTTCATTACAAAGGCAAAGTTTGGAGACAGAGCAAGACTTTATAGACTGGAGGACCATACCAACACACGATTCCTCCCCTCTGCCTCCTGACACAGAAGAGAGAGAGAAGTCCCATGGAGTTTCCTCTATAAATGAGTCAGCTGGCTGCCACATGTGAGGACCTGTGCTAGGGTCAAAAGAGGGAAGCAGGATTTGATTTCTCCATTCAAGGTCTGTCTAATTGGAAAAATAAATTCCATGTACAGGTCAGACAAGGTCACCAGCAAAACAAAATAATATGATGGGTGACAGAGGCTGATATTAAAGGCATTTAAAGTAAAAAGACACAACTTTTGCTTATGTTTCAAAAGTTTTTTTAATTTTTTAAGTCATGTAGGTTTAAAAGTATTTCTTTTAAACGCTATAAGTGAAAAGTCTGACTGGTACCGTGGCATCTTTATTGTGATTTTGCTTCCAGCATTCCTGTGGGCGTTGTGCTGAGGGGAAGCAATGGCATGTACGCCTGTGAGCTTTAGAACCCAAGGAGATGAAGTCTTGTTTCTGCCATTTGGTTTCTATGGCAGATAGTCAAAGGTGCGTCTCTTCTGTAGAAGCATCCAGTGTCCCTGGATGTCAAGAACAAGGTGTGGCATCTCTCTTTTACCACTGAAACTCCAGCAGGTAGAGAATGGTCCTAACTTCTGCATCAGCTGCAGTTGTGCTGGGGGAGGGGGCAGCCTCTTAGGGGCTCCACCTGGAATGTTCTCTGAGCCTCCTCCAGCCTCCAATAAGCACACAGTTCCCTGTATTAAATCCCCTCTGCATAACATAGCTAAGGGCAGGTAAGATGGCTCAGCCAGAAAGGCACTTGCTGCCAGGGCACCATGGTGACCTGACTTGGATCTCTGAGACCTGTGCGGTGGCAGGAGAGAAGCAACTGTGTCCCTGTGCGTGCGATGGCATGCAAGTGTGCATGCACACAGGAAAGTAAGTGAATGATTAAGAAGTGATAACAGCGAGAATGGTTTCTCTTTTCTGTAACTTCTAACCGGTAGGGAAATTAAAACTACATCTAGAATGTTTTCTTTCTTTTAAAAAATCAGAGGCAAATATGGCAATATGTTAAAATCAGGGTAATGGGACCATGGGTGTCTTTTCTTTCATATTATAAAATTTTTAATGTTATGATCGTAAGTCTGTGTATGTGCCTAGTTTTAATAGATTTTGCTTATGTTTTTACCCAAAAGTAATTTAAAAATTCTTGAAGTCTTACATAATATGACTTAAATAAGACTTTTTTTTAAATCACAAATCTCAACTACATTTCTAAAACTAGAATGTTTAGGGAATTTTTATTTTATATGTTCATAAATATTGAGCAAATGAGGCCTCTAAAAATATACTTTCAGCTGAGATTCATTTCCTTATTGTTTATATTAAATCTTCTTGTACACAAAGTTGCTTCATTGTTATAAAAGATTATTGCTCGTTTGTTAAAGCCTTGATAATTATACTGGCTAGTTTTAGGTCAACTTGACACAAACTGGAGTCATCTGAAAGGAGGGAATCTCAATTGAGAAAATGCCTCCATAAGTTCTGACTGTAGGCAAGCTTGTGAGGCATTTTCTTAATTGGTGATTGGTGGGGGAGGGCACCACTGTGGGTGGTGCCATCCCTGCTGGTGGTTCTGGGTTCTATCAGAAAGCAAGCTCACAAGGAGCAAGCCAGTGAGCACCTCCCCTTCATGGCCTGTGCATCAGCTCCTGCCTCCCAGGCTCTTGCCCCGTTTGAGTTCCCTTCCTGACTTCCTTCGATGAAGAACAGTAACATAATAGCATAAGCCAAATAAACCCTTTCCTCCCCAAGTTGCTTTGGTCATGTTACAGGCAATAGTAACCATATCTAAGACAGTAATTTTCAAAAACATTCACATGTAACTAGTATCATGAGAGTATTAATGAAATTAAACTTCTGGAATTAATGTTCTCCTTCCAATCAGTGCTAAGAGACTTGGCTTCTTAGCTAAACATTCTTCATCATCCTAAAATGATAACTCAAGGATACTGGAACAGGCTTAAATTGATGATATAGAAATATTTTCTCTGTAATACCTTTTAGCTTTCCTATGAATCTAAATGTTTTTCAAAATAGAGGTTTATTTTTAGGACTGGGTATGGTGACTCATAGCTGTAATTCCTGACAGAACATTGCTAGGAATTGGAGACCAATCTCTAGGCTTGTGAATTCCAGGCTAGCATGGGCTAATGAGTGACATTCAATCGCTCAGAAAACGATACAAAATTTAAAAGTGTAAAACCCTAAGTGAGTCCAGACTTGGGAATGGCCATCCTAGCAGATTACAAGATCACTGAGGCACACAGAGCCGGGGCTGGGCAGGGGTTTGTTACAATACAATAACAAGAGTGGCTACAATAATCCAGCTCTGTTTTTATTTGCGAGTTTATTGAAAATGAATTGTTTTAACATTTACCTTAAAAATGATGATTGCATCCCCTATTCAACACCAAACTTATTTGATAAAAAATATTTATGTATTGTATGGGTCTGTCTGAAAGGACTACACAGACTTGTGGACCTTGTAGTGAGGGGAGCAGGCGTGGGCCTTGTTTGGTCACTCTTAATAAAATTGGCCTTTTTTCCCTTTGAGCAAAATTTTTGAGCGAATTGCCAATTTCTTTATCTCCAAAACAATCCACTTTAGGAGGACTTTCATATCTGATTCTGTTCTATAAAAACAGAATGTAGTTTTACTGTGTATATTATATGAAAGTTGTCCTTGAAACATTTCATTTACTTTCTTTCCAATTTTGTTTTAAAACAGGAAACTCCACTTACTCCTGTATATTTTAGATATAAGAATTAAGAGAAAAGGTAAACTTGAAGAAGAATTTAAAAAATAAAAACAGTAAGGAGAAAAAAAAACAGCCAAGGGATGACTGGAGTACATTGTGAGCCTGTGCCCTGAAGGTGGGTTGACTGGGGCTTGGCCCTTGGTGTGGTAGCATATTGGAAAGAGGGTATCTCAGGGGACCTTGGTCAGATCTGGTGAAACTGTAATGAAAGAGCAAGTCCAAAGTTTGGCACAGTAGTACATGCTGCCTGGGAGGCAAATTCAGGAGGATAGCAAGTTTGAAACCAGCAAGAGCGACACAGTGAGTTTGAAGTCAGGCTGAACTATATTGTTAGAACCTGCATTAAAAAAGTTAATTGCTGGGCAGTAGTGGTACACACCTTTAATCCCAGCACTCCAGAGGCAGGAGGATCTCTGTGAGTTCATGGCCAGCCTGGTCTACAGAGAAAGTGTCCAGGTCAGTCTCCATAGCTACAGAGAAAAATCCTGACTCAAAAAACAAAACAACAACTAAAAACTTAATTAAAAAGAAGGAACAGGGGGGGGGATCCTGGTACCCCCACTGGTCTCTCTCATCATACCATGCCATCTTACCCTCTGCCTCATACTCCTGCCATGATGCTGTCTGCCATGAAGGTAACATAGCCAAGAGGGCTCCTTATCTTGGAACTTTGAGCTAATGAAGTATTTTATTTGTTGTGGTTGTTTATCAAGTACTCAATTTCAAATACTTTGCTATAGCAATGGGAAATGAACCAAAGCAAAGGGTTAGACAAAGTTTGAAAAGACAGCATAATTTTCCAGGAAGAAACATAGAAAGGATCAGCTTGAATGGGTGGTTTTATTACAAAAGAAAATAACTAGAAACCAGATGTGATGGTGCTAAGAGAGCCTTGTCAACCACTTTCTACTGTGCTCTGACCTGAAAAATTTATACTGGGTATGTCACTGCATGACTGCCCTGACCTAGGTGGCCTGCCTACAGAGACCCTCCATGAGACTGTTGCAGTGCCAATCCTTCTTGTGTCAGGATGTGTGGGGATGGGGCTTACCATATCATACCTTGGGAGCCTTGGGGAAGAGAAGTCTCTCTGTGCAAGCCTCTCTCCGTGGTCCTGGGGGCTGGGGTGATTCAGGATGACCTTCTGTACAGGATGCAGGCCTCTCACTCTTGCCCCAGGAAGGGCTTGCCCAGGCAGAGCAGGCTGGATGACTTGCTGGTAGGCTGCTGGAGGGTAGCCGTGAGCATCTGTGGGTGAACAAGGAAGGAGCAGAGAAGGTTGACTCCAGCTCCTCCAAGCATAAGGTCACACAAGCTCGTTGAACAGTTTTCTCATGATAGAACTGAGGTCCAGATATCAACCCACCTCCATGTATTTGTTATATTCTGCACTTCTAAATACTTCATAATACTCACGTTTTTCAATGTTAAAACATCTGTGAAATCATGTTTGACATTCTAATTAGAAAACTCAAAGAATTTTTCAAGTCCTGTTTTAATGAGATACTTAGGATTATCCTTCCCTGAAGAGCCTCTCTCACACCACTGTTCCCACCAGAACTCCCCACTATCTACAAGCCATGGCTAGGAGAAATTATCCTTGGAATAGACTTAAGATTACTGTGCTGGACTGGAGGTGGTACTGCATGCCTTTAATCCCAGACTGGGAGGCAGCTGGAGGCAGATCCTGTATCCTGTATGAGTTCAAGGCTAGCCTGGTCTACTACTAAGATCCTGCCCTTCTGAAAAAAATTGCCATGCTTCCCAACACCGCTAAGTGTGTATACACACACACACACACACACACACACACACACACACACACACAGCCCCCTCTTAGGAAGGAGTGAAACCTTGGCTCATCCTCTGGGACGAAGCCAGCATCACCCTTTAACTTCACATTCTCACCTGGTAAAGCCCAAGACAACAGAAAAGATAATAAGGAAAGGGGGAATGGGGAGAGGACTCAATCAACAAGATATTTGCTGTGTAAGTTTGAGAACCTGAGTTCAAGCCTCTGGCACCCACATAAATATAGTTGGGCATGGGGCAGTGGATGCCCAGGGCTAGGGAGAGAGAGACTGGCGAATCTCTGGGGCTCACTGGCTACCCAGTCTGAGTTAGTGGGTTACTAGTTCAATGACAGGCCCTCTCTCCAAACACAAGGTGGAGAATGATTAAGGAAGGCATCTGACATGTACCTCTAGCTTCTACATGCATATGTATGTGCATCCACACACATATGAACATACACACATAAACATAAAAATATTAATTTTTTAAAAAGAGCATGGATTAGAGCAAAGCCAGGCTGGCAGGCCTGATGTGATCATGTAACTGGGGAGAAAGCTGATCCTAGGAAGCCCCAGAGTAACAGGGTCCCAAGAGAAGCCCAGCTTAGCTGACCAGGGAAAAGAATTAAAGAAAAATGCAGGGTGGGGAGAAATGGCTCAGCAGTTAAGAATACTTTGCTGTTCTTCTGGGGGACTTGAGTTTGGTTCCCAGCTCCCATGGCAGGTAGCTACCAATGACCTGTAAATCCAGCTCCAGAGGATTCAGCACCCTCCTGTGGCCTTTAGTACACTTGTGGTACAGTCTCACACAGACACATACTCACTAATAGAAATTGGAAAGAGACGCAGAGGGATGCCATGACCCAGGGTGGGTGAGGGAGAAGGGCTCCGAGGACACTACAGCAGCCTAGAGGGCTACAGTTGGGAAACCCGGGTGGAGCATATGGACTGGAGAGAATCAAGTATGAAGCTCGCAAAGAGAAGCCCCCTCATGACCCACGCTGCCACCTCTACTCAGGTCAGAAGTATGGTGAGTCAGGAAACATAATCAGTTAGGGCAAAGGCAATTTTGTTTAAAAAATTATCATTGGTTTTAAATCCTTGCCCAATTTATAGAAGTCATAGTTCTGTTTGTCTTCCAGGGTAATATATTTGAGAGAGACACAGAGAAAGAAAATGGCAAGGAAACAAGAAAGTGACATGACTCTATTGCAGTTAGAGTTATGCCACCCTGCATGATCAGGTCGCCGCTGCTCTTGACCTCATTGCCCAGCTGAAGTACCAGAGTAGGGAGGATGGTACCACTGTCCTGAGTTTCGTATGCAGCCAGAAGCCTTGGACATTTTTAAGACATCACTGGGGAATGACAACCTCAAGCACAGATGAGCAAACAAATAATATGTATGTTTACTAGTGTGTGTCCAGGTCCCCACTGTCTAGACTCAGAACCTTGGTTGGATGACCCTGGCAATTAACTCAAGCTAGTCTCATGCCTGGTCAAACTCCCTGGGGCCATTTCTTTGTTTTCCTTGGCCCTCATATCAGCTGTACTCTTCCTACCATTGTTCCTCTTGATAAAGTGGCCATGCACCTCCAACATAGGCTGTCTACTGGCTTACCCAAGCCCCTTGTCCTATTGTTAAGCCCTGACCATTGCAAATAGAAGGTTTGAGGAAAGGAGGAGACAGGAGATAAAGAGGATTTGCCTGGGCCTGTCCCTGCACAGGGCTGACAAAGAAAACCAGGTCTTGGAGGGGAGCTCTAAGAATGGGGAGAAAGACCATGGAGACTTCCATGGGCTAGGACAAGGTCCACCACTAAGGCTTTGCCTTGACAGACTTCTTAGATCGGGCCAGACAGATCTGAGGAGGTCTAGATTGTCAGTGGAAATTTCAGGGCAATCAGACTAAAAAAAGACAAAAGTGGTCCTGTCATCGTGTCACCAGGAGCCCAGCTCATCTTTAGAGCAGCTTTGGAAGGGTTTAGAAACAGCTGTATCTGCAATCTTCCAGCATCTAAGGCAACAAGATTCAGTCTGCATGGCCAGGTCCCTGTGATAATCTCATCTCCCACAACACTGTCATAGGCTTACCATGGCCCACCTTCATCTTGAATACCCCAAGCTGGTCCCCACCTCTGAGCTCATGATCTTTTCAATGCAGAAAGATTTTGCCTTAGATCTTCACAGATCAACTTCTATGTGGCTCTTATCATGTATTGGGGAGGCCCACCCCTCGCTGAGTTACCTTCTCTCCTCCCTGGTTTGGTTTCCTCATCACTAGGAAGGGTCTGTAAGAACAGGGTGCATGGGGGGTTTTGCTATCATTCACCACGTATAGCACAGCTACACAGGCAGTGCTCAGTAAACGAGGGCTGAATGGTTAGTTACGAAGACAGCTTACACATGGAAGAGGAACCATTTTGGACTGCACAGTCAGCTTGCTTCAGTCTCAGTTTGCTAGACTACCTACTTGTCTGCTGTTATGTTTTTTTAAATCAGTTTTGCCTTCCAGAAATGATAAAGACAAGGTCAAAGTGGAGAGACTGCCAGGCCTTGAAAGCTTTTCCAAGGGAGACGCTGAAAGTAAATTCAAGTGAAGTTTTCACTATTTTGAGCCATTTTTGCTTCCCATATCCATTAATGAATGGCTAATAACATTTTATTTGCTTTAAAAGGACTAGCAAGCTCTAATCACAGGGTGTGTTCCTTTTCCAGAAGGCGGATGTTAGTGCTGTTAATCAAAAGCCTTTGAATCAAGGTCAGATGATTTCAAGTAGATTATTTCCCTGCACAACATGTTTTTGTCTCATAGCAACAAATCGTATCATTAAAATCACTGAGCACACGGGCTGAGGGTTTGACTAGCTGTAACTCCTGGGTCTGAAACGGCCACCTGTGGTAAAAAGTTACACCAGCATATGTGAGCAAGTGGCAATGATCCACCTCATTGGTTTTTAAATTAGAGCACCAACAATATAATCCCCGGTGTCATCCTCTTGTTCAGAACAAGGACTGAATACCAGAGGGTCAACCAAAATCAAGCCTTTCCTTCTGTATGTGGAACTTGGGCCATTTCCCCCTAGAAATTTTGGCTAGTTACATAGAAAAATTGTTAAATTAAAAAGTATGCTAGTTAGGTAAATAACCATTGTTTATCTGTGTGAGATTTTCTTTCTTTTCTTTTTGTTTTTACACTTTAATTTACTGCGTCTACGTGCACAAGTACATACACACACATACACACCAGGAGGTCAGAGGACAGTGTGAGAACTGGTCCTCTCTTCCCACCATGCGGGTCCCAGGGATCAAACAGGTTGTCAGGCTTGGTGGCTGGCACCCCTACCTGCTGAGCCATCCTGCCAGCCTCTCTGCTCAAGTTGTAATCACTCTGCCCCACTAGCATGAGCAGGCCTTGCCACCTCACTGGTCTAGGTGCTTGACCCAGGATGACAGAGTTGAATTTTCTGTTTCCCAGAAATAGAGTCTAACTCAGAATGGAATACGGATTCCTTACCATGGCCTTGCATCCTGCCTTCTCCGACATATCACTCCCCACCCCCCTGTCTGGTTCTTGGCACCTGAGCAGCATCAGTCTCCTTGCCTCTTTGACCTCCTCATTCTAGAACTTTCACCTCTTCTCCTCCCACTCCCCCACTCCTCCCCACCTCCCACCAGCTCCTCAGAGAGGGTAAGGCCTCCCCTAGGGAGTCTACTAAGTCTGTCCCATCATCTCCTTGAGGCAGGACCAAGGCACCTCCCCACCCCCACACCCCTGTGTCTAGGCTGAGCAAGGTATCTCTCCATATAGAATGGGCTCCACTAAGTCAGTTTGTGCATTAGTGTTAGATCTTTGACCCACTGCCAGTGGCCTCATACATTGTCCCAGCTGCACCATTGTCACCTATATTAAGGGAGTCTAGTTCAGTCTTATGCAGGTTCCCCGTTTGTCAGACTTGATGTCACAAAAAATTCTACCAATAGCTAGAGGTTCTCTCCCTTCCCCAGAAGGTAGAAACTTCTTATTCCTTCAACAAATATTTATAGATCCTCTACTCCCAGGCACACAGTGAGCAAAGATAAATACAATACAGTTCCCTTATGCAGCTCAAGATAAATAGAGACAGAGAGAAATCTGTGTATCTGTAGGTGTCTGTTTTTCAACACAAACCCACACTCGTCAGTGTGTGCGAAGGGGAGGCATACAAATCAGCAGCCACCTACTTGAGAATCGCTGCTCAAAAATAGCTTCCCACAGACTTGTCTCCTGTGCCGAAAATTCCATCAAGAGAGTTTACTCTGTAGGAGATGGAAGGTGGGTGATGTGACAGACAAATGCTTGCCAGCATGGGAACTCCTCAGTTCCGAGGCAGCGGCAAGCACATGAAAACAGCCACAATGAAAATCTCCTCGCACAATCTCAAGCGCGCACCCAGCACTGCATGCTGGCTGTCAGGCTCCTGAGCCTCTTGGCCTCAGTACAGACAGTCTTCATGTCACAGAGCTCTTACCACTTGGAACTGTAAACCAAGCCTTAAGTGAGGTTCTCCATGCATCAGGGAAAACAGTCAACATTTTTCTTCCTTATTAAGAATGGTAGTAAGAGAGCTTGTGAGGGAGAAAATAAAATCTGATTTTCAAGTTGTCAAAAAACATCATGATAAAATGCAATCAGTTTAGCCAGGAAACACAATGGCCAACATAAACTGTTAGAAGAACTCTCCCACAGCTGTAAGCAGCTGGGGCGCCTGCAAGGCAACTCCTGCCTTTATCATCGCTTCCATCTGCTTTCTTTTTCCTTGCTTTAATTGTACATGCATTCGAGCACACAAACATCACACGCAACTCAGCAACCTTTTTTTTTTCAGTCCATGGGAGCATGTACCCACATGTCATATTCTGCCTCCTTAATAAAGAAAGCAAAAAATGTATAAAGCACAAGGGCTCATTAGGCTTAATGCCTTCTTTTGCCCGAATATATTTGTATTGTGGGCTTGACTTGCTTGCTTAGCCACAGGCTTCATCTGGTGACCTTCAATGGACGGGTCCTTAGACAGCAGAGGCCAGCTTCTGGAGCTGTGGTGAAGAACACTGTAGGCTATTTCATTTCTTGTTTTCATCTGCTTTGAATATTTTTTTACATGAAAAGCATGACCAGTAAGGTTATTTTTGCTTTAACTTGCAAAATGCAAAGACACACGCTTGCATGGTGAACATTATTTATTTATATATTCATTAACAGGCAAGGAAGTAATGCTCTTCTAAAGCGGAGTAGAGCCCCGTAGCCATGGTTTCCACTGCCCAGCCTCCCTCAGGTGAACAGCTCTTTTGAAGTGGTTTTGTTGGCAATTAAGTGCAGTTATAGCCCTGACATGAAACTAAGCATTTGTATACCTGTCCTGAATATAAAAATCCTTGCCAGCAAAGGGACCTGAAAGTGAAGGCTTCCTCTACCTACAGGGCTGGGCGTGGGATCCATTTCCCAGTCACAAGAAACTAAGAGCAGCTGGTGCTGAGGGCCTGCTAGCAGCCAGCCACTTTCCTAGAGCCTTCAATGCATTGTCTCAGTTAGTCCTAACAGCAGCCCCCCCCCAGTCCATTAATATCTAACTGCACTCTCTTGCATGCCACACTACACACGTGGAAGCCAGAGGACAATTTGCAAGATGGCTCTCCATCCATCCTGTGGGTCCCAGGGATGGAACTCAGGTTTCAGGCTTGATAGCAAGTCCCTTTAATCACTCACTGAGACATCTTACTAGCCCAGTTCAGCTTTTGAAAACGATGCTGGAGGAAGTACACTCAGTGTCATTGGAAAGTATTTTATATTAGGAATATATGCAAAGGATTAAAAAACAACACTGGAAGCAAATGTATCAAAATCCTAATAGGGAATTCTATTTGGGTAAAGGAAATATCCCTTTTTCAACTTTTGGGCATATTTCACTTGAAGGAAACTACCCACATACTGCTGTTATGGGAAAAAGTATCTTTACGTAGACACTTAGATATCTTTATGCAGATAAGTAGAACTTCAAAGGCTTTGAAAACTAACCTGGTAACTTCTGAGAACTAAACCCTGTGCCTGCTTACCAAAGTTCAGTTCTCAGTGACTCAGACTTAAGAAATCCACCACACCTGTGCCATGGATGGCGCTCAGCAGGCACCCGGTCCTGCCCACATTGTCTGCCAACTCTGATAGGAAAGGAACAGGGAAACAACCCAGAAGGAAGCCCCAAGAACTAGGACAAAAGAATTTTCTATAAACCGTCAGCATCTTCTTTCTGCCTTGATGCAGGTTTCAATTGCTCAATGGGGGTGTCCACTTTGTCCTAAGTTTCCTACAGGGAGATGTAAGTCAGATGGGCCTTGGCCAAGAAAACGCATCCTACTAAAGCCCCCTCACAAATCAACCGCACAAGAAACACCCCGCCCCAGAGAACATTCTTCCTCACTGCTAGTCTCGGGACACCAGCAGTGTTGTGAGGCCTGGTCTCCTCCATCCCTTGCCCAGAACGTCCAGAAGCCCAGAAGCGATAAAGGTCACTTACATGGCGCCTGGTGATAGGGTCCTCCGGGACAATGATACTGATAGTTCCATGGAGCCTGTGGGGAAGGATTGAGAGGCAGCCTCTGTGTATATGCTGGGTACCTCTGAAGTTCAAGCTGAGGGAACTCTCTGGACCTCAGAGGCCCAGGGAGGTCCTGCAGGTAACACGTGGAGGTGAGGGGCAGTGGCCTTTCCAACTGCCTGATGCCCAGGACGTCCTGGGGCTGGGAATCATACCCAGTGTCTATCGTGGGCACATCTGGGGCTGCTCTGTTCCTGTGGGGCCGGGGCCGAGGTAACGTCTCTTGGCCGCCGCTGGAGGAGTCTACCAGAACATTAGAAAAACTTGGGTCTGATTTGTCTGAGTCATGGCCCGTGTCGGGAGAAGCTGCTGAAAGCTGTGGTCCCAGGCATCTATTGCGTTTCTCCATAAGTGAAAGCCTGTGCTCTGGAGGGAGGGCTCCGAGCTCAGACTCAGGCTCGCTGGCTTCGGACGAGCATGAGCAAACACCTTTGCCAGGATCAGGATGCCTTCTAAAGAAACTGGCTTCACTCTCCTCCAAGACTTTAGTGCGCAGGCAGGTAACCTGTTGTGACACAGGCCGGTGATTTGCAAGTTTCAGGGAAGGGTCAGCCTGATAAAGGTCCCCTGAAGCATGGTGAGGGGCTTGGAGTGCAGGCAGGCTGCTGGGTGCCATGGACCTCGTATTTGGAGCAGGTGGTTCCAATTCCTCTTCCAGGGAATATTCTGGGATTGGTTTCAGCAATTGACTTGGGAATGGTTCTGATTCGTCAACCTCCACAGGAATGCTTCGGTTCATTCTAGTTTCTGGAACAAGAGAAAGCATGCCACAGTCTCAGAAGATAGAGCAGTGCTTGGAGTCTCCATTTTATGACCTTAAAGGACCTAGTTCGGGATGTGGTTTACATTAACAGTAGTGTGATACCACTGTGCTTGCAGGCCCCAGTCACATAAAGTTGTCTACTTACCGTTCCAGGCAAAGGCACTATTGCTTATTAGATTTCATCTGGAAGGCAATTGAAGAAATATGACCAGAAGTCATTGTGTGGCAGGAAGGGCTTACCAGCAAGGGAAAACCATGGATGAAAGTCAACTGTCACACACCGAGGAGAGAGAAACTATCAGAAAATTGGCCGCTTTGTGTGTTTGGAATGCATGACGAAAAAAATCCCAAAAACTGATAGGAAACAATTTCCAGGACATACTGTTGGTTGTTTTTTTAAAAAGTGAGAAGCAGGACACTATGTGTATGAGACTGATACTGCATGTAGGAGTAAAGAGGAATAGACGTGTGTGTCTGTGTGTGTATATTCCCATGTATGCGTGCAGCATGTGTGATGTACACACACCATCACTAAGGGTAGAAAGGAGTGTGATGAAGTTTTACCTTTTGCACTTCAGTTTTCTTTGTTTTTATTCCATTTGGCTATTGCTTAATAACACAAAATAAACTTAATAGCACCAAATAAAAGTTTCTTAGAAAAAGAAGGCACAGCTTAAACACACTGAAACAGGTCATAGTGACATTTTCCACTTAACTACTTGGGTCATTTGGAGGGTGTATTTACCTCTGGGCACTGTGCCTGTAACAAAGGTAGCATAACCAAAGGCTTGTCAAACTACCTCTTGGCCCCCAGGGTGGAGCCCAGATCCAAGCAATATTGCTTTTATCTCTTAAAATCAACTTAATACAATAGGGAGGGAAAAAAGCTTCCCTTGTCTGTTTAATCATTAGCTAGTTGCCGTGGATGCCCAGCTGTAGGGCAAATAGAGGAAAGCCTAGGAAATGGGGTGCTGTAGGGACACTGGGGGTTCATAGGAGGCTGCAGAGCAAGTGTTGTGAGAGAGATTGTGTGGGAAATCCCAGTGGTTTAGTCTACAGAGGGTCTTTGTACACAGCACGCTTCAGATACTAGAGAGAAAGGCTGTGTTCGGAGTTTTAAATTCCGACTTTGGATCCATGCAGCCTTTCAACCACTGCCATTGAGTGAGAGCTTACTGTGCCTGAAGTCACAGAGTACATGAATTATTGTTCTAAGACAGCTTTTGGAGAATTTGCAGTCTCTTACACTCTGTGCCCACTCCAATAAGAGAAGACAGCCTGCACTGCAATGTTCCCCATTCTCAGAGTAGGCCAGAAGTTTGCTTCTAGGTACAACCCAGGGCTAGAACTTTGGTTCCTATCTAATGGGCTTAACTGTCTCTAGAAAGCCAGTCACGTTAGCACATGCCTATAATTGCAGTTATTAAGGAGGTTGAGGCAGGAGAATTATTTAAGCCGAGGAGCAAAACACTTCTGGCCCACAGGATGCATCTTCAGCTTCTAGCTGCCTTCGCCTTCCCTTCCTAGGCTGTTATATGCATCCCTTGGAAGAGATCCCACCCTATTACTTGGTTAGAACTTTAAAAATCTAAGAACCTACCAAAAGATAAAAAGTAGTCCACAATTTTAGTATTTTTAAATGCGCACCATCATTTTCCTGTTAGCCGTACAATTTGTCTGCAGCTATAAAACGGGGTACACTGCAGCACGCTCTTCAACTCAGCTGGCAGGGAATCAGAAGTGTTCCTCGGGGTGACTGAGGGCTGTGTGATCTCCTGCTTGCAGCCATGAGTCCACAGATGAGCGGAAGGGTGAGGAGGCGTGGACAGAGAGCCAGCCAGCAAAAGGATGACATTCTGCCAGCTCTTGTCATGTGATTCATAACCACTGCTCAAGTTTCAAACACTTCAGGTGCCAATATTTCTAGTCTCCCCAGGTTTTCAAACGTGGGTATCTGAGAAGTACTTCCTACCAGAAGCAAAGTTTTGGACTTGACTCTTGTAGCTCAGAAGGTTACAGGGGGCTAATATCACAGGCAACAAGTCTAGGCATCTCACGTGACTTAAAACCAGACTGTGAAGGAGCACATGACCCCTCGGGTGATAGCAAATAAACTTGTCATGGTAATGAAAACCCTCTCACTAAAACTGTAGCATTAGTAATCACTACAAAATTAAAATGGACTCCGAGGATTTAAATTAGTCACTACCAAATACACAGACAGCAAGCCCTTACTCGATGTTAGCAGCTCACCCCCAAAGCACAAACGCAATTACAATTGCAAGTAGTGCAGAATGAAAGGGCATGAAAGACTAGACAATGAAAGTACCCGTAAAGACAGGGCTGGACCGCAGCGCTATCACTTGACCTGATACAAGAGAGAAAGCACTCAGGAGGCAACAGGGCCCACCGCAGGGCCTCTCTGCATTTGCTGCTGTCTCAGAATACTCTTCCCTCCAAACCTGCATGGCTCCCTTCCTTTCTCCTCAAAGGTCTCTCCTTAACTGCGGCCTTCTCAGTAAGGAACCCTGGCAAAGTGTTTACACTCCCCCCTCACTTCCATGCCCCTTCTCTGTCCTTCCATTCTCCCTAGCAATTATTACCATCTTACATTACAGCAAGATAGAGAATGTAAATATTTAACCCTGCTTGCTTTCAAAGTATAATTTCATGACAGCATGATTTGTCAGTCTTCTACTGACTCAACACCTAGAACCACACCTGGAGGTGCTCAGTAAAGACTTGCCCACTGAATCAGTGTTCGCTGTCTACCGTAGAGCAGTGCTTTGTAGCTGGATGGGTCCCTGGCAGGCTGACATTTGTAGACATGGAACCTCCAAGCCCTTAGCCCCTGGCAGCACTGGCAGCCCGTGGTCAGCCCTGCCCAGCTTCCCTGTGAGCAGCTGCACACAGACTACAGGGCTTTATCAAAGACAGAGTTTTAACCGTAGTTAAGTGTTGTAAAAACATTATTCTTAAAAAAAAAAAAAAACAGCATCCCGCCACTGCTAACCATTTCCATTTTTCTTGCCTTCTTCTAGGCTAGCTCCCATGTTCTGTTCATGTGACCCTTACTCTGGTGTGGCCTGTACTCCAGTCCCGGACACAAGGCAAGTCTGAACTGATATAGAAAATCCCTGCTTACTAGCCTTGACCTTGGAGAAAGCCCCTGACGTGAGAGGAAGAAGGCCTGGAAGTCAGTGGGGGGGGGGGGGACCTGGAGCCTGCATTGCTGGGACAGCTCAGAAAGTCTGCCAAGACCTGGAGAACAGAGTATGCCCGCTGCACTGTGCCCCCTCTGAGGAAAGGGAGGGGCTAGGAGGAAACCTGGTGGGCGGGGATCTGGCTGGGACTCCGGGAATTCCCATGGTGGGGCAGGGCTTCCATGCCTGATTCTTAAGTTCCTTAGGTGAACAGACTCTGCCTTGCTTTGCCAAGAGGAAAGAAGTAGCTATCAGAATTGTAAGTCTGTGCCCCTTGACAGAGTAATTTCACTTCTAAGAATTTCCTCTGTAGAGAAGTGTGCACACTGTGCCAAATGAAGTCTGTAAAGATGAGTGACGTGGCAAAGACTCGAGACAAAATGACTCTGGCTTTAAAAAGCGCTGTGTGTCTGGATAATGACCATTCTATCTCTTAACAAATAATGGGAAGTGCCATGCGGATTGAAGAGGAAACAGCTCCAAATGTATTACTAAGTTTAAAAAAAATAAAAACATGTCATTGTGTTATGCGGCTCTCTGTGGCATAAGACCATATATGTGCATGTAATCTCCTAGAAACTAGAATGGTGGTTATCTCTGGGAAGGGAGCAAAGGGGATTCACTGTCCAAGCAGTCTGCATCTTTTCTAATTTGTACCGAGTGTGTATGATATCTATCAGACTCTCTCTGTTAGAAATGTAAAGACCCCACCATTGATCTGGTGTTCACAAAGATTAAGAACCAGTGTCATCATGACTCTCACTCCACCTTCAGGAGACCATGAGCTCCTTAGAATAAAAATACAAAAACAGAATGCCCACTGGGGCTGGCTGGAGCTACAAACAGAGGCTAGGTACCAAAGGCCTGCCACGGTGAATGCCTGCCACAGTGAATGCCTGCCACGGTGAACTCCACAGTTAGACATGTGGCAGGACTCACAGCAGCCTCCTTTTGGGCTGAGCTCTTGTATTTGTATTCCCTCTTCTATTTCATGAGAGAGGGTCTCACTGTGTATCGGTGGCTGCCCTGGAACTCTACAGAGACCATGTTGGCTTTGATGTAGCCCTCTGCCTCCTGAGTGCCAGGGGTGGGGGGATTAATTTATTTTTTATGTGTATGTGTGTTTTGCCTGCCTATATGTTTGGTACCACGTCTGTGCCTGGTGCCCTTGGAGGTCAGAAGAGGACACTGGATCCCCTAGAACGAGAGTTACAGGTGATGGCAAGCCACCATGTAGTGCTGGGAACTGAACCTGGGGCCTCTACTAGGCAGCAGCCTCTGGTCACTGAGCCATGTCTCCCATCCTCTTCATTCTCCTGTCTCTTGTCAGTTTCTCCAAACCTCCTGCCTTCCTTCCCCCCTCCCAGGCCTGAGGCTGTCATCCTCTGCCCTCTCCCTCCCCAAGCAGGACTGGCTTCATGGACAAGATCTTATCCAGTAAAGACACTCCCCTGACAATGTGTGCCCCCGCTTTACCTGTCATAGAATTGGCACGCTCCTCGTCCCGCCTGTCTCTGCACACAGCACAGCCAGTCTCCTTGAGCGCCATCGGCTCTGCTCAGGTCTTTTCCCCGCGTCCATCCCCTGCTATGTCCTCTCACACCTTCACTCACCAGAGTCCTAGAAAGGAGCCCATTCATCTTCACAGCCCCTTCATGTCTCACCAGGGCCTCTGTCCCTGTGGTCACACTGGCCTCGCTCCTTGACTGGCCATCTGACAGCTTCCTTCCTCTTCCTGTTTTGAGAAGCACGTCTCTCTCAGGACACAAGTTAACACACCTGATGGCATGCCAGCAGTTCGCTAGGACTCTGACCGGCATGTATTTCTCAGGTGGGAGATACACACAGACTTTAACTGCTTCTGGATGCACACTTCTGGATTCTGATTGCTTCCCTACCAGCTGGGTAATTAAATGTTATGACCACAACAATGTTACTTAACTTACCCAGGTCTCATTTTTCTCATCTGTAAAAAGGAGGGAATAACAACTCTGTACCATAGGGGTGTTGTGAGGCAGAGCCTGGTCCACATCCAATTCTTAAGTTATTTTAATCCAGCAAGAGACTTTGGCTTTTATATAGATGCTGTCCCCTGCAGGTGTGCCAGCTACTAAGACTGTCACCCAAGCCATAGACTGTAGCTGTGTAACCAGTCAGTGTACATGAGATTTGATCCACATCAGCTCATCTGGTCCTTAGGCCATAGGGAGCATGAGAGGTACCATTCTGCTATTCCTTAATGACACACATTAAAGAGCTTTGCCAAAACCACACAAGAGATTGGTGAAGACAAATCTACTAGAGGATCTCCCTGCAGTTTCTGCAAGCCACTGAGATCCAGGGCTGGCAGATTTTTCCCTATAAAGGACCAAGCAGAACATCCTTTCTGCTTTATGGTTCATATGTTGTCTCTTTCTTGTATTTCACTCTGTGTGTGTGTGTATGTGCATAAGTGTGTGTGTGTGTGTGTGTGTGTGTGTAGATGTGTGTATAGATGTGCAGCCACAGAAGACAGAGAATTGCTTTTATTTTACTCCTCTGAAGCATAGTCTTTCACTGAACCTAGGCTGATTGGCAGGTGAGCTCTAGGATCCACCTGACTCTGATCCCCATCACTGGGTTACAGTCATGCATATCTTTTCCATGGGTTCTGGGGATTTGAACTCAGGTCCTCATGCTTTACAGCAAGTCTCTTACCCACTGAGCTATCTCCTAACACCTCATTACTTTTGTTTTGTTGTTGCTTTTAACATCCCTTTTAAAAACTTAAGGATAGGGGCTAGAAAGATGGCTCATTGGTTAAGCATCTATACTGACTGCTCTTACAAAATACCTGCATTCTGTTCCCAGCATCCACAGTGGATAGCTTAGAACAAATGTAACTGCAGTTACAGAAGGATCTGGTTCCTCTGGCCACCACAGGCAACTGCACTCACAAGCACATACCCCCAACCACACACACATGCGCATACCCCAGCCACACACACATGTACATACCCCAACCACACACACATGCACATACCCCATCAACCTCACACACATGCACATACCCCAGCCACACACACATGCACATACCCCAGCCACACACACATGCACAACCCCCCTCAACCTCACACACATGCACATACCCCAGCCACACACACATGCACATACCCCAACCACACACACATGCACATACCCCAGCCACACACACATGCACATACCCCAACCACACACACATGCACATACCCCAGCCACACACACATGCACATACCCCCCTCCCCAGCCATACTGCTGGGCAGTCTGCACTGACAAAGGGCAGGCCATCGTCTAGAGGCTCTAGCAGGTCTGAGATAGTCCAGGTCATGCACCTTGACCTGCGGGAGGGCGTGGGTGCACACAGTGTTCAACCGGGCACCACAGACGGAAGCCTGGGTGTCTTTCCCTCACGCCATTCCAATGGGGGGGGGGGCAGTGCGCTCAGACTGCAGAGGCATCTTGATTTGAAAAAAGCACTTGATTGGATCTCATTAAATTTTAATCATAAACTGAATTCAGAATAAATTGAGACCTGGATGACAGAGCACAAACAAAGGGTGATGATAAATGGCAAAGCAGCTGGGAAGGGGACGGCTTCCAGGGGACATCTCTGAGGCAAGGACGGACGGATTTAATGAAGGTGTCGTGTCCCTGGAAGAAGACAAATAGTACAGCAAGGAACAGAAGAAGGCAGGAATGAGCAGCCTGCGTAATTAATAGATGCCGTAACAGCTCCTAAACAGTCAGGACTAGCTGATCACCGACTGATTAGATATGGGTTTTATTTTTTGAGACATGGTTCATGGAGCCCAGCCTGGACTTGAAATCTTAGTCCTTCTGCCTCCACCTCCTAATACACCACTATTTCAGGCTGGATTTGTTTTAATTGTATGTGTGCATGTTGGTTTGTGTGGGAGGCGTGTGTGTGTGTGTGTGTGTGTGTGTGTGTGTGAGAGAGAGAGAGAGACTGTAGATGCCCAAGATGGACATCATGTGTCTCCCCCTATTGCAAGTGCATGTGTGCAGAGCACCACGTCCAACACCATGTACCTTCTTTGGTCACTCTCCACCTTATGTATTGAGGCAGGGTCTCTCCCACCTCGACTCTGTGGTCGTATGGCTAGCCAACTTGTTCCTGTCCCCATTGCCTGAACACTAGGATTCTAAGTAGATTGCCACCCCACTTGGCTCTTAGGTGGGTTCTAGGGAATCTGAACTCCAGTCCTGAATTTGTTTTGTTATTTTAAATGCTGTTTGGGTTACAGATAGGGTTGAAAAGTCCTAGAGACATATAGCATGGATATTTCAGGTGGCCATAATAAATAAATATATACATTTATACTTGGGAGAATCCTAAAATTTAATTTGGATCAGATACTTTCAATTACAGATTATTCAATTACTCTCTAGGGAATTATTTAAATTTCCTTTTTACATTTGTTTATCTTTTTGTATGGTGTGTTGCCATGGCACCCATGTGCAGGTCAGAAGACAACTGGGCAGGAGTCTGTTCTCCCTTTTTCACCATGTAGATCCCTGGGATCAAACTCAGGCTGTCACTTGGTGGCAAGCACCTCTACAAGCTGAGACATCTTCTCACTGGCCCCCAAAGAGTAATTTTTTTAGTGTGTCTAAAAATCACAGATCTTTACAAATATCTGTAAACTCATGAATTTCTTTGTCTACTGCCCAAATGTATGCAAATTACCATAAGGTTGGTTTGCTTAGTGGAGCATGGTTTGGGGTGAACCGTTCTGCTCAGATTCAAACTCCAGTGAGCAAACACTTTCAGGCTTACTTGCAGAATTTCCCTGAGAGAGAAGTTGTCCCGTGAGGGTTTGGGGCGGTACGAGCATTGGAAACAAGGGGACATTTGGTGACTCTGTACTGGAAGACCCAGGCTGAGGGCAGGCATCGTGCTCTGCTCTGAGTTGCCGAAGTGGCACTGGGACTCCAGGACTGAGCTGTGATGGGAGGACAGAGACCGCTGGGGACAGACTACCTGCCACATGGACAGCTGCTAACAACAACATTTAGAGGAAACAAGCTCCAGCCAGCTCAGGCGCTTTTGTTGTCTGTCTTGCGTGCCCCGCGTAAGGTGGTCTTTCTAATTCAATGCAGGTTAGAGTAGAGAGGGAGGCACAGGGAGGAGGAGAAGGCTATGGATGAGAGAAGGAAGACAGGGAACCGCTATTGCTGTGAGTGAAAGACCTTGTGACCTACATGTATTACAGCTGCAGGAAGGGTCAATGGGATGGTCACAGGACAAAGGCAGGAAGGGGCAGGGTGGGCCAGTGGTCAGGTTGTCTAGGCAGACAACTCAGCATAGGAAAAACTCAGAGATGGGCGTGAGGCCTGTTTACCCTTGGAGAGAAAAGGAAAAGCGTGGAAGGCTGGACACAGGAGCCAAGTTTCCTTCACCACTCAGTGAGTTGCCAAGACCCCGTGCAGACTAGGTCTGCAGGGTGTGAGAGGAGGACAGGCTGTGTGAAGGTCTCCCACCCATGCAAATAGCTCGATTTCCCAAGCATCATCAGGGAACCAAGCCAGAGTGACAGCATGCTGAGGACTGCCGTGTGGATGAAAGTCCACCCATCCTCAGCTGGTTTGTAGCCTGTGGTCTCCAGGAAGGTCTGGGTGCACACCTGTGTGCCCACATGTACAGCAGTGGAGTGAGCAGCCCCCCCCCCAGGATGGAGCGCACATGGGGGGTCTATGAGACATGCTGGGTAGGAGACAAGGAACCCTGGAGCTGGAGAAGAAACCCTGTGTTTCATGAACTAAAAATACCTGGGTGACAAAGCATTGAGAAGAAACAGGAGAGGCGGGGGGGGGGGGCAGCTTCTAGATTCTAAGCATCAGGTGTTTCTTGTGGAAGCCAGCTGGACCGTTTGATAAGAAAATAGGATCAAACATTATGGGTCAAGTAGCTGGATGGGAAAGGAACCCTGCCTCCATCCCTGCTCTTTCCCATAGCACTTGCCTGTGGTTCACATGTGTGCCTTTTTAAAGGTCAGTCTACAATTGCCTGCGGCACAAAACGATTTGAATTCAGGATCTCTCTGAGATTTCCATTCCGCAACGTGTAAAACATCGATTTAATTTACACAAACCACCTCACCAAATCTATCTTGCTGAATGCCCATTAAACGATGCCTGGAAATACGACTGTCTCCTCGTCTTTTAATTTTCGGTGTATTTGAAAGTCACTTAACGCCTTCATCTTGAGAGGTGCGGGCTTGAACACTTTGTGTCTTTGTACCCTCTGTGAACCCGAATGAGGAGGCTTCCTCCCAGCATCCTGCCACACTTCCAGACCTCACTCCTGCTCAGCCAGCCCCACCCAGCGAACACAACAGAACTGCCGCATCACCCATCTCCTCGCACTTGTGGAATAACTGGTGAGAACAGTACCAGACTAAGGATGGCTGCGGTGGACCCTTTACCGATCAAAGCGAGGCTGGCAGCCACACAGGCCTCCTGCCCTGGTCTAGATGGTAATGCTTCGGATTTAAAATAAGAATCAGGGACTCAGCACAAGCAAAACATGTTGGAAGTCTGGTACCCTTATTCCAGAATACAGAGAGCCATCTAAAAACACCATGAGGCCTATACTAGAGTCTTATAACCTACAGAGTTTAGCAACAACCAAAGCCCCAGATCTGCCCATCCCCTCAGCCAGAACTTCCTGGAACTGTACTGACAGTAATTGCTCAAAAATTATAATAATAATTTTTTTAAAGCAGTGGTTTGGAAAAGGTTAAGGTCCCAGTGGATCTGCCATCTAATAATGACTCTAATCGTAGTCACCAGCCTTACTTGGTGCTAGGATGTGTTTCACTGTTCCCTTTCCCTCCCATTAAAGGCCTCCACATTGAGGAGTACCTTCCTGCTCCAGCTCCTGGCCTCTGGAGCAGGATCGGCTGCCAATCCTGGAGCCTGCCTTGACTCTCAGCAAACACATGGGACATGAGCTAAATTCAAGAATCCCATTTCCCCCTATGTGGTTAAAGCCAAAAATGATGGCTAGATTCTAGGCAGCCCTCCTGCAGAGCTGCAGCCGACACCGCGGCCCCCAACCCCTCCCCACCACAAGCTGCATGCCCTGACAGCTGCTTTACCTTCAGCCTGGAAAGCAGATGAGGGAAACTGAAAAACTTTTAAAAAGTTTATGTGCAAAGAGCCCAAGTACCTCAATAGTGTTTGATGGCATGCCAGGTTCTGGGGGCTGGAAAAATGTAAGAAAGGCCTTCCTAATGGACTAGTAGCAGAGGTAAAATTTATATGTGTAATAATGGGTAAACAAAACATGTCTAAGACCACCCAATAAGGTACCCTTCTGGGACTGCCCTGGCCTTGTTGTATTAGAAAGGAATTTAGACATAATCATGTTAGTGAGTGTGCGCGCGCACGCACGCATGAGCACACACACAGCAGATGAAGAAATCCAGGCTTCTGAGAGCCAAAGGGAATTGCCTAAGAGATGGACCCACACGAAGTGGAGGGAGAACTTGGAACCAAGTTTTCTGACCTCTTTTTAAATTATTAATTTGGTCTCTTTTCACTCGCTCCCTTAAAAAACAGTCTCTGTAGTCTAAGAGGCCACCGTGAACTAGGAAGTCACAACAAGGCGACTTCTAAGACCAAGTATTTCTCCCCTGGCATACCCCAGCACCCTCAGCACCGTCCAGACCCAGCAAAAGCCTGGAATGGAGGGGGGTGGGGTGGGGGTGTCGGGCACTTCCTGACCCAAGAAAGTGATGCTGATGGTTTTGTTTTGTTCTGTTTTTTTCAGCATAAAAACAGGACAGAGAAAAACTGGGAGTTGGCCTTCCGGCTCTGTCATTGACGTGTCTGGGGCTGGAAGCCAATTACTTAAAGCTTGCTACCCTTCTCGGAGAAACAGTTTTGATTTGTTTAAATACAAGCTCTTGCTACACAGCCCAGGCTAGCCTTGATTTCTTGGTGGGAACCCGAGGAGACCCTTAAGAGTTAGCTTGGTAGTAGCGTGCGCCTGTCATTGAAGGGTTAACCTCAGCTCGGCCTGCCTGAAACCCTAAACCAGAGCCACATTGCTAACGGGGGCTCTGTCACAGTCTCAGCTGGTCCCCTGGTAACAGGGGAAAGGTGGGGAGACGAGGGCGGAGGAAAGTAAGGCCGGAAGATTCTGGCAAAGGAGAAGGCAGTGGACTGGAAAGCCCACTGGCTCAAAGAGGTCAAAGCAGGCACCAGTGAGTTCACTCACCTCCGATCGCCACACACAGGCAGGCCCGGGGGGGTGGTCGCTGCCTCTGCTCTGGGGCTCCACCTTGGGCCGCTCAGGCCTCCCTCGCCCTCTCCAGGTCCAGGTAAGTGGTAGAGCAGGCTGTGAAGCAGGAAGTGGATGTTGTATGCAAATAAATCTCTAGCGAGAGGAAGCCTCTGCTCCGCTGGCTCCCCGTGGGCAGTGAATCAGCCGCTGAGAAGTCTCTTTATTTCTTAAAACAGAAACCTCCTTTTACCAGAAAGAGTCAGCAACCAATTAGGCGGCGACCTGCTTTTACCACCCAGATAAGAAACTGTGAGGAATGCCCCGGCCTCGGGGTTACTGCGGTGCCTGAGAAGGTGTTTAGGGGAGATTGAACTTGAGTGTTCAGACTGCTTACTCATTAGCAGTTTCAGACGAGAAGACTGGAGCCTGATCGTGGAAACGAATATGAAGCGAGAGTTTTTCACCGTGTCCTTTAACTGCCTAAAACAGATTTGCTGCCCATAACTAAGGAGCAAGGATTCACGGATTCACTGCCTACAGCCCTGTGCGGAGGGGGGGGGAAGGGGGGGAGAGGGGATGATAAACACACACACACACACACACACACTCTGGCTTCTCATTTCACGATCTTAAGTTTATTTCTTCCTTTTCTTTTGTTTATTCAGTAGCTTACAGAATTTATGACACAAAGAGGGATCCTGGAGGCAGGGTTATGCCACAGCAATGTGTGGGGATAATATAAAGCCAGGTGATTTCCAATGCATTGGAGGGAGATGGGAGTCAGTCTAGGTGTGAACTCGTCATGTCACCAGCTGCTGGGCTTGCCCACCTGTAGGTATCCCTTGGACCTGGCTGTCTCCCCACTCTCACGGAGTGGGGGACAAGTCCTAGAATGCCCCAGTCAGGTTATAGCAGAGCTACCCAAGTATTACACTTGAAGCAAGTTGTTCTACACATTATAAACAAAGGGAATGAGACTTGGGTTTAAACCATTATAATAAAGGTGGCATACTTTGTGGTGTGTTTTTACAATGGGGTAATGTATATGTTAAAACAGTAAATATTTGTATCAGTTGTTTGTACAAATTAACATGGAAAAAAGACTCAGAGAAATTATTTAATGAAACATTGTTTTGGCAATATATCTGATCTCTCTCTCTCTCTCTCACACACACACACACACACACACACACACACACCACACACACGGGTGCTTACGTGCCTCTAGCATATAGGATGTTGCGCTTGACACGTGTTGAATGATCCAGTCAGAAGCGCCTGGAGCTGGACTGCTTGTTGTTCCCCATATTTACTACCTCACCCTTGAATTTTCTGCTTCAAAAATTATCAGATCTTTTGAGGGGATGGGAAACAACATTCTTTGTGGAATGACTGAAACCAGAATAATTGTGGTGGGGGGGGCAGCTATCAGCTTGGAGATGGAATAGGAAAGGAGAGAATGGCTTGGGAGGAGGCAGAACGGGGAGTAGGAGAGAGGAAGATGTTTCCCTTTCTCACAGCTCTCCTCAGATGGCTGGACAGAGCCTCAGAGCTGCTTCCGGCAAGTTCTGCCTTTGCAACCCTTTCCACGAGGAGAGTCAAGACAGCCTTTTCTTCCAGTTCTCCACGAGGTTAAACCTGTGACACCGGGGGGCCTGTGGAAAAGACACCCAGGGCTGAATTTCTGCCTACAGTTGCTGCCCTCCCCCCAAATCCATCCTGAGCTTGAGGAATGGGATAATGGCTCCTTGCTCAGAGCCTCTGCTGGGCCCCTCCTGGAAAGCAGCCCAAGGATGTAAACTGTTTATAGAGGTCCCCCTGACTGAGAAACTTCTGTCTTAGCATGCCTGCTGAGGTCTGACTGAAATGCAGATGACAGAGGGCATGCCTGAGGTCTGGGACATAAATACCTCCCATTCCGATGCTCCCCACTGCTGTGCAGATGCTCATGTGTGGCCTCCCAGGGAGCAGTTCTTCTCTGAGGACCTGTGTGCACCTTTAATCCCAAGAGCAGTCCTGTGAGGTGCTGTGGCTGTCATTTCCACTGTACCTTTGAGGAACACAAGGCTCAGAGACATCTAGTAACTTTTTGAAGGGCTCATAGCTAATTTGTGGAGCAGTCAGGCAGAGTGCTGTCTCACTTCCAGGTTGTCTCTTTCCTTCCTCGGTTGCTCAGCTCTGGCCTATGTTTCCTACGTGTCTGAGGGGAACTTCAGTACTTAACTTTCTCTACACAACTCTTGACAGTGCTCAAAAGGGGAAGGAAGAAAGCAATAAATGGGTAGCATTATGACTGCCAGTCACACTGGGTCTGTGTTTATACGTAGACTGCTGCTGACAGAGTAGAAGAGATCAGATCATGGAGTCAAGACATGAGCTAACATCTCCCTCCTGGTAGATGTCCATAAGTGAAGGATTTATGTTTGTCAGGTTCCAGGGGTCTGTGTCTTTGTTTGTCAGGTTCCAGGGGTCTGTGTCTATGTTTGTCAGGTTCCAGGGGTCTGTGTCTATGTTTGTCAGGTTCCAGGGGTCTGTGTCTTTGTTTGTCAGGTTCCAGGGGTCTGTGTCTTTGTTAGTTAGCGGTTTTCTTGGTTGTTTCTCTATTGATGTGAGAAGACACCATCGCCAGGACAACTTAGAAAAGAAAGTATTTATTTTGGGCTTACTGTGTCAGAGGGTTAGAGTCCACGACGACGGTAGAGCAAAGCCATGTTGACAGGAACATCTGAGAGCTTACATCTTGATGAGCAAGTAGAAAGCAGAGAGAGAGAGAGAGAGAGAGAGAGAGAGAGAGAGAGAGAGAGAGAGAGAGAGAGAGAGAGAGAGAGAGAGAGAGGAGACTGGGATGGTACAAATCTTTTGAAACCTCAAAGCCCCCCCCTCCCTGTGACAAACCTCATCCAACATGGTTACACCTCCTAAACATTCCCAAACAGGGGTCAAGTATTAAAACCTGGACCTATGGGGGCTGTTCTCATTTAAAATCCACAAGGTTGCTGTAATAGAATACCAGGAAGTGGGTAGCTCAAATCATGTGCTTTTATTGCTTCAAGGTTAGCAGGCTAGAAATCCAAAATCAAGCCACTAGAAGATTGTTTGTGGGTGGAAAGCCTGCTTCCTGGCTTTCTTGATCAGTCCTCAAATGGTAGAGGCTCACTGACGTGCTCTCTGGTCCCTTTTACAGGTGTCCTAACCCCACTCATGAGATCATGCTATGACAACTTAGTTGCCTCTCAAAGGCCCTAATTCCTAGTGCCATTATATGAAGTAGGTGTGAGATTTCAGCATATGAATTTGAGGGATAGTGGACATGAGAATGCAGTGTATAACATTTGGTAACCCTGCACACAATCAGATGAACTAAACCAAACCATAGCACCTACTGCTCAACATTAATCTATGAAATAAAGGAGAAGGAAAAGACTACATTTTTTTTTACAAACCTGACTTTCCCATTTTTAAAGCTTCAATTACAATCATGAAAAGGCAGAGTGAACTACTTGGTCTACCACACATAAACAGGAGATGGCCACCATCATGCTGTCCTCTAAGAATGGCCCTTATTCAAAGGTACTGAGCATCAAGCATGGGCTGGATGACTCCCCACAGAGGAGTGGCCATTCCTCCAGCATCTGTCCTGCCCTGGACATTCGCCCCAGTCTCCCAACCCTCAGTCAGCACTGGCCTTAGTCCTGACATGTATTGCGTGCTGGACATACAAGCAGAAACGTCTCAACACTTTCTTGGGTTGCCTTCAGTTGGACAGGCAGTGGCAATGCAGAGTTCCAAAGGATTAGCCATTAGACAAGGTGGGGAGCCTGCTGCACGAGAGTCTCTCCACTATATGCTCAGTCTCCCTACTGCACATAAGTCTGTCCACTGCACACTGAGTCTGTCCATTGCACACTGAGTCTGTCCACTGCACACTGAGTCTGTCCACTGCACACTGAGTCTGTCTACTGCTTGTGAGTCTCTCCACTGCACACTGAGTCTGTCCACTGCATGTCTCTCCATTGCATGTGAGTCTCTCTACTGCATGTCTCTCCTGCTCTGCTTAGCTGCTTCCATTTAGAGAGGAAACAGCAAAGGCCCAGCCTCATCTCCACCATCCCAACTTGACCCTGGTTCCGGTTGCTACCTATCCAGGTGGCCTTTTCCTTTGGGTGACATCCTCTCTGCGCATGTTTCCTGTCCGGTTGGCAGACTGGATCAGGGCCTTCAGAACCTAGCAGAGGGTTTGGTATCTCAGACTCAGCAGAAAGTGAGTCTCAGCCTCTCTTCCTAAGAGGTCTGCGTGATTTGAATGTGCCCTTTCCCAAGTCACATCCTGAAACTGAACTGTCAATGAGAGAGCGTTGGGAAGTCATAGATACTGAGGACAGAGCTCTGATGAATGAGATTGGTACCTAAAAAGAAGTGCGCCTCTGCCTTTTCACCATCTGAGGAGACAGAGAAGGTGCTACCCATGAAGGAGAGGCTCTCAGCAGACATAAGATCTACTGCAACCCTATTCTTGGATTTCCCAGCCTCCGAACTCGGATAAAGAAATGTCTGTTGTTTATAAATTTCTCAGTCTAGAATAGCTCCCTTTAGCTCACAAAAGCTACATCCCAAACTCTTAAATCCGGAACCACAGAATACCAAGCCCTGTAAACAGGGCTTTCTCCTATATATACATATCTGTTATTGTTTAATTTATAAATCTGACACAGTAGGAGGTTAACAATGGCTAATAATAAAATAGAAGTTATAACACTATATTGGCATAAAACTATCAACATTGTTACTTTTGTTCTTTGATGTCAATGTTCAGTAAAACAAAGATGGCTGGGATGGGAAATGTCCCTCACAGTCTGACAAATGTGAGCACTTGGTTTAGAACCTGAGGTGCTGTTTGGGGAAGTGGTGGCATCTGTGGGGTGGGTCACTGGGACTGGGGTCAGGTCTTTGAGAGCTACAACCTTCCCCATTTCCCTCCCCACCACCTCTGCTTCCAGATCTCAAAACAAAGAGTAGCTGCCGAGAATCCCAGCCACCATTCTTCACCGGGTTGGTTTTCCCCTAAATAATCCTCTCCTCTCGAAGTTGCTTCTGTTGGGTATTTTGTGACGTCACAGTGTCAAGAGAAATAATCCACATATGTGCTATGCTATACCACAAGAGTCTGGTAGCCAGGCTACTCCGTGATTCATGGGCGTGTTGGGTATTCAGCAAGGGTGCTGGACAAAGGGAAGAGTCACAGGTAGATGGGACAGGCAGACCAGCACCTCACCAGTAAGTACCTCACCATTCAGATGAGGTCCAGCTGTAATTTTTAAAATTGCATTTATTTATTTTGTTTATGTGTATACATGTGTGGGGTACATACCATAGCCTATATGTGAGGTCAAAGGACAAATATGGGGAGATGGTACTTTCCTTTCACCATGTGGGTCCTGGGGATCAAACATAGGAGCTTAGCAGCAAGCCCCTTTACCCACTGAACCCTCTCACAAGCCCCTGATGCACAATTTAAAATGGAAGAACCACTTGTTTCTGGAAGTTTCCATTTCATATTTTCAGGCTATATGTGATGCAATAACTGCAGGTGACTGAAACTCAAATAAGAGGGAATGCTGTAATTTGTTACAGGTGCAGGTACCCAAGAAGATTAGCCTCCTTCCCCTACAAAGTTCAGATTTATTCATCTCCTTCTCTTACAAGGTGGATACTGGGAACAGCCGATTTGTCAAGGTATAAAATAGCCTGTTAAACCATTACCCAAGGCAACCGGTGCCTTTTACCAAACATTTGCATCTTGAGTGAGAGCATTCTAAAAGCCAAAGATTATCTGTTCCTGCGTAGCTTCCTGTGGTTCCTTGGATCCCCAGTTTGGGGCAGTGTCTCTTGGGTAAGCCCTACACAAAGACTTCCTGTTAAAACCACCAGATTATTAGTAGCTAACCTTCAGATGCACTTGGAGTGCTATGGCTCTGCCCAGTGGTACAGTGCTTTCCTGGCTCTGGTGAGGGTCCTAGTCCACACCAACACCAAGAACAGACAAGCGGTTTCAGAAGCTACTTAGGTACCAACCCGTGCTCAACACTTTTCCTGCCTTACACATGGAGAGTCAGAGCCCTCGTATGAGGTGGGCTCTAGGGGTAGATTCTCTGTAAGGAAATTAAGAAGCATATTCCAGAGAGCAGCTCTCCAAAAGAATGTAGCAAAGAGGTCCCAGGCTCTGCTTCCTAAGTAGGCTGAGTGCAGTGGGGGGCTCAGACAAGGGAAGTGTATCAGAAAAGAGGCAGCAGGAGGATGACCAAACGGCGTGGAGCTCAGTAGAGGAGGAGGCAGCAAGAACGTTTGCTTGTTTGTTTGTTTGTTTTTGAGACAAGGTTTCTCTGTATTGCTTTGGAGCCTGGCCTGGAACTCACTCTGTAGACCAGGCTGGCCTTGAACTCACAGGGGCCTGCCTCTGCCTCCTGAGTGTTGGGATTAAAAGTGTGTGCCACCAAGCCCGGCAGCAAGAACTTTTGTGGAGAAGTTTGACACTAAGAGAGTGGGGGCAGTGAGGATGACTACTACCCTTTGGTGTGTGACCACTGAGTAAGTCCTGACACTGAGAGAGTGGTGTGTGACACTGTGTAAGTCTCCACACTAAGAGAGTGGTGTGTGACACTGTGTAAGTCCTGACACTAAGAGAGTGGGGGCAGTGAGGATGACTACTACCCTTTGGTGTGTGACCACTGAGTAAGTCCTGACACTGAGAGAGTGGTGTGTGACACTGTGTAAGTCTCCACACTACGAGAGTGGTGTGTGACACTGTGTAAGTCCTGACACTGAGAGAGTGGTGTGTGACACTGTGTAAGTCCTGACACTGAGAGAGTGGAGCAGTGAGGATGACTACTACCCTTTGGTGTGTGACCTGTTGTGTAAGTCCTGACACTGAGAGAGTGGTGTGTGACACTGTGTAAGTCTCCACACTGAGAGAGTGGTGTGTGACCCTGTGTAAGTCCTGACACTGAGAGAGTGGTGTGTGATACTGTGTAAGTCCTGACACTGAGAGAGTGGAGCAGTGAGGATGACTACTACCCTTTGGTGTGTGACCTGTTGTGTAAGTCCTGACACTGAGAGAGTGGTGTGTGACACTGTGTAAGTCTCCACACTGAGAGAGTGGTGTGTGACCCTGTGTAAGTCCTGACACTGAGAGAGTGGTGTGTGACACTGTGTAAGTCCTGACACTGAGAGAGTGGTGTGTTGTGGGAACACCAGACCTTGAGCAGAGACCCACTTCCCCTTCTGCCTGGGAGTAGGCAGCTGTAAGACAATGTTTAGTAAAAACATGTTTACTAAAAACAATACAATGCCAGGGGCAATAAGTCCCTGGAAAATGCCTTCCCACGGAAACCGCCCTGACCTCGACCTTGTCCAAAGACTAACCGCACCTTCAGACCCACCCACATCCAC